AGATTATTGGGTCTGGCCTGGTAGCCTAGCAGATAAAATCCTTGTCTGACATGTTCCAGGATCCCATATGGGTGCCAGTTCTAATCCCAACAGCCCTGCTTCCCATCCAGCTCTCTCCTCGTGGTCTGGGAAAACATTTGAGGAAGGCCCAAAGCCTTGAGACTCTGCACTCATGTGGGAGACTTGGAAGAGGCTCCTGGCTCCTAGCTTCAGGATTGGCTCAACTACAGCCACTGCAGCTGCTTGGGGAGTGAGTCAACGGACAGAGTTCTTCCTCTTTGTCTCTGCTCCCCTCTGTATATCTGACTTTCCAATTTTAGTATATGTGCTGCTGAAGCGAGCAAAATATATCTGACTTTCCAATAAAAAATAATAAAATAAATCTTTAAAAGAAAGATTATTGATTTCTCATCCTGCTAAAGTTGTCTCCTTTCTGCTGGCTCTGGAATAAAATGGAAAAATAAATACTTACTGTATCTGAAAATAAAAGCAGGTGGATTATGGAAGGGAATTCAAACTTGGGGAAATAACCCTGTCAGGGGATGATTTCCTGTTTTATCTTCTCAGAGTTTTCCCCAGTGTCAAGGTCCTTTTGATAATGTCGAGGTATAGTGACATAGATGGTAGCACTTTGTATTTGTTTGCTTTATGTTGCTAATATCACAATAGTATAGAAAGAGAAAAGGGTTTATTTTGGCTCCAGGGGCCACGTGTGGAGATGGGCTTCTCGTTCAGAGTTCCAGGTTAGAGCCAGATATCACACGGTGAGAGATAAGGAGTTTTCCTGAGTGTTACCTCTGCGTTCCATTTCTCTTCTTATAAGTCCATCAGGTTCCAATTCCTTCTTACCACCCAAAATGGGGCTACCATCTGACATGAGTTTAGGAAAGACAGATCATTCTGAAACTGAAAGTGTAGTGCGTTCCAGAAGCAGCCATTTTGTTGTTGTTTGTTTAGATGAACTAGAGAATGTAGTATCTATGGACCAGAAAGTGTGGTGGGGGAAGCCCAAAAGAGTCGAAAAGCTTCCCCAACTTTGTGCATGAATTTATCCAAAGTCTCAGTGTGTGTGGGAAACACTGTATAAGCATCCTGGAGAAGGACAGTGGAGCACATTGAGATTGGAACCAAGCATAAAGGTCGAGACACGCATAGACCAAGATACCAAGGTGTAAACTCAGTTGAATTAGAATCATCTACACAGGTCTATGTGTGACCACTGTACTACATGTGTCTGGGACAGGGTGAAACTCAGACTTTCAAAGATGATTTGATTGTGACCATCTTTTCTGAGAAAATAAAACAGAAGTTGTGGTTTGGAACTAATAAGGTTCTAAACCAAAAAAAAAAAAAAATTAGAGAATTCCTTACTATCTAAGGAATCTAATGCTATGTTTTATAGCACTGATAATATCCGTGAGAAAGTACAAAAAGTTTTGGTCTACAAAGAATACAGAAAATACACTCAGTTCATAAGGGGAAATGATAGTCAAAGGGATCAAAACTGTGAAAATCTAGATGTTGAAATGATTAAAGAAATTAAGGCAGCTTTCGTAAGTATTTGAAAAGGAAAAAAATTTACAAAAATTGAGTGAACAGATGGGAATTTGCAGGACCAATAGAAACTATACATACATATGAATGTATATGTAAATATGTGTATATACACACCGGTATACAAAAATGGAAATGTTAGGATTCAAAAATACTACAGTGAAATGCAAATATTTGTTTGGTGCTTTCATTGAAAATGTTTGACAGCAGAAAGACCTAGTGAACTGCAAATAGATCAATGTAAATGATCTAAAAACTTAGAGAAAATAATTTGCTTTAGTAAGTTGTGGGGTACTTGAAAAATGTAAATTTCAGAGAGAAGCAAAAGATTAAAAAGAATCATTTGATGAGTTATCAGTAAAGAACTCCCTGTCTTTCAGAAGACATACATTTAAGCTTCATGAAAGGTAATGAATGCACAGGGTAAAACAAAAATATGCCTAGAAAAATGCTCATGTTATGGAAAACGAAAGGTGAGAAAAAAATCTTGAAGCATAAAGAGAAGATTGACACATAACATCCATGGGGCCCATGGTTTGAGTGATTCTCATTAGAGCATGAAATCCAGTAGATAGAAGAACAGTATCTGTAAGCACTGCAATAGGGAGGAAAAAACAACCCCTTTGAAGCCATCATTTTATATACAGAAAAAATGATCTTTCAGGAATGAAGGAAAAAAATATTCTCAGATGAAGGAAATTGCCAGAATTAATTTCCAGTAGGCTTCTTCTATAGAAATGTCAATGGGATTTCTTTAGGGTAAAGGGAAATTGGTTCCTTACAAATCAAGGGACACCAGCAGAAATGTTAAGTGGCATATGTAAAGGTGTTTGCCTCTTAAATTCCTTAAAAGGAATAAAACTCCGACAATGTAAGTTATAACTTAGTTTGGTTCAAACTTCCATGTATATAGATGTAATGTGTGTGTGTGTGTATATTACATATATATATATCGAGCTACTATATGTATATAGTATAGTACAATGTGTATATATATATACTATATATCTATTAGAGCTACAGTATAAATGGAAATGTAAGAGATAAAGGGACTTATATAATTTCAAACCTGTGTATTTAATTTGTTAAAATCTAACTTTAAGTAGACTAAAAAGTTAGGTATATATGTTGCAATCTGTGAGTAACTATTAAAATAAAGTAATTAACAATCAAAAAGTCAACCTGGAAATAAGATATTGAACTAATCCAAAGGAAAGTAGGAAAATGGGCACAGAAAGGATCAAAGATAGAAACAAACAGAATAATAAATGCATCAAGTTGAATACAAATATGTCAATAATTATATTAACCATAGAAGGAAAACATTGAGAAAGCCATTAAGATGTTAGGTTTTAATATATTCTAGTCTGGAAGAGATGTCATTTTTACATTTGCCCTTGCAGAAAAGAAGTGATAGATGAAACTTAATGGTAACAGAAGAACAGACAGTTTGAAAATAAGCGAAAGGAAAAATAGTAGAATGTAAGGAATTAATATGAAAGTCCAAAGTAGCACAAAACAGACTTGAAGATAAATGTGGTGCATTTAATGACAGTTTGTTATGAAGACAACAACTACAGATGTGCCTAATAAATGCTCAAGATGCAGTTCACTCAGTTGATTAAAGCAAAAATATACCATTCTATAGCCACAGGAGATCAGAAATTAATATTACACACATACAAGTAAACCAGGAAAGCCATAGAATATATGAATAATATTATCTACCTCTTACATTTAATTGACACATACCACTGTAAGCATCTGAAAAATTAATTCCCTCCTGCACGTTGTAGATTCACTGAGGCTCATATCATATACATTGTTAACTGTCACCATTATAAATTTAAATTAAAAAAAATCAATAGCAATCATCAAGCTGGGAAGACAGCAGCATCTGGAAATACAACAAATTTATCATCAACTCGTGAGTCAAAGATCAAGTCTTAGGGAAGTAAGAAAATATTTTGAATATTAATGAAAATATTTTTGAATGCAGGTAAAGCTATAGTCAGAAAAAGTCACATGACATGCTTTAATAATATCTAAACTCAAATGTCTAATGTTTTCTTTAATGATCCATAATGGGAAAGGGGACAAAGTGAAGGTAAGTACAAAGAAAACATTAGTACTTATGAACAGAACCAGTAAAAATAGGCAAAAGGTAATTTGCAAAAGGCCAAAATTCTGATTCTTAAAAAGGAGAGAATATATGCCAATATCATCCAGCAAATAGGAGCTATCAATAGAGAGCCTGTAGACTCTGAAAGAAGAAAGGAATGCTGGTAATAAATTTATACAAGCAAGTTCAACACCTAAATGAAAGGGAATACTTTTTTTTTGAGATACATAGTTTGCAAAAAGTTGACTCCTGTTGCAATTGAAAATCTGAATAGATTTCTTCAAGTGAAGAAATTGAATTTGTGGGTACAGTGCAATCAAATTAGACATTTGATTTAGATTTTAGTGGCTAAATCCTTGCCTTGCATGTACCAGGATCTCATATGGGTGTCGACTCGTGTCCTGGCTGCTCCATGTCCCTTCCAATTCCCGGCTTGTGGCCTGGGAAAGCAGTTGAGGATAGTCCAAGGCTTTGGCACTCTGCACCTGCATGGGAGACCTGGAGGAAGCTCCTGGCTCTTGGCTTCAGATTGACTCAACTGTGGCCATTGCCTTATTTTGATTAGCTTTAAAAATACCTTCATGTTTAGTTGTGGGCACATGTTGCTTTCACTGTAGATGTTCTGTAAGATCAAATATCAATGCAGTGGGCATGTTCTTATGAGCCTAAGTTGTCCCCATGCTAGGTTCCTTTCCAGAGCCTCACAGGCCTCTGAACATCCCTGCCTGGGTTGGGACCAAGGAGATAGTCTAAATAGGGTGACTTCTGATGTCCACATTCTGGTTTTTAAAGGGTTTTTTTGTGTTTTCTTGAATACAACTTTTTGCATCTGTCTACTATTGTGAAAATAGTGATATGCTAGTTAAACAGACCTTCCTTTCCATTCTTTGAAGGTTATAAAAGCCATGCATTATCGTTTTGTTAAGACTCTGAGATTTAACTTTTACAAAGAAATTGGAAATGAAATTTACTTGAAAGATTTTCTATAGGGAGTGGCATTTCATTATATGCAACTGAACAACTCTTATGCATAGATATTGAAATAAAGAGATTTCTTTCCATTTGAATTTAAATTTAACATGGAGTTTAAGACAAATCAAGGAGAAATTCTTCCCTGGGCTATTGTACTTTTTTCTTCATGAAGCTTTATTGTGTATATGTGATAATAAGCTATATATAGATCACCTATTTGAGTCAGATCTTTTACAGGAAACGAAAGTCTGAGCTTACCTTATGTCAATTCTTTCCATTTTAAAGACATGATTTTAAAAATAAACTTTGCATATATTCTCAATTTTCAGCTGATTCTCACCCTTTTTTCTAGGCGCTGGCCCATCTCCATTTAATAGAATATGTCGGTGAACAGACTGCTTTGCTAATAAAGGTACACTAAATGCTGTAATAGAATCAACCCCAGACAGTGTTCTTTGATTCTGTTAAAAAAGAAAAAAAGAATCTGGAAAGAATAGGTCACATTACTCATGTAGAAAAAGCACAGCAGGGACCTTATCTTATCCTGGGCAGCCTGAAGATGAAGGAATTTGTTTTCCCAGAGAATATGTAATTATAGGTGTTTGCTATTTTGTTTTTAGCTTTTAGGCAAAACTTGTGTAAGAGGGATCACAGTCAACATGAAGATTAGTTAGTAAATTTCCCAACTCCAAGCTCCAGTAGGGCAGCAGTGATGGTGAGACCAGCATGCATAGCCACCAGACATGGATGAGGAATGAGTTAGTCTGCATCCCTCCCTACCAGGCGAAGTGGCCTGAGCATGGCTGGAAACTGTCCCCCTTAGTTACTCATAGTAACCTAGCCTAGGCTCCTGGTGTAGGTGTTGGCTTGGCTCGCACACCTGTGCCTGCCTTGTTGTAAGAAGGAGTTTGTCAGCATCCATTTGATCCCTGTGAGTCTCAAATGTCTTAAGATTAGATCTAATACCTGTGATTTACCAGTGTTGATGCACAGTGCTGCTCTCTGCTCCTTCCAGATGGTCCCAGAGGATCAGCGCCTAGCAGCTGCCATCATCCTGATTATTTGGGTCTCAGCCTTGGCGTCATCCTTGATTGACAATATCCCATTCACTGCTACAATGGTGAGTTGCAGGTGTGAGAACGTCAGCCTACTCATGCTTCTTGGGAACTCCCAGGTCTCTGCTACATTCTTGTAGCAGCTGTCTTAGAAACTCAGCATACATTGGGCAGAGCTGAGAATTCCCTGACAATCTTCATTTAAAACTGACCTTTTCAACCTTATTAGCTGAGGAAGAATTTTTTCAGGTTTTAATGTAATCATTGCTGTCATGGATGTTGAATTCAAAGAATGGTTAGTTTATGCACATCATTTCTTCAGTTTCCTTTAGGTGCCTTCTCAGATACTCATCATTACCTCTTTTTGTTTGGCCTCTAAGCAAGGATGCCTAATGTTTCATCCATTTTATTTCTTTAGTCTTTTTTTTCTTTTCCAATCTTGTTCCTTCTCACAGGTATTATTGAGATCAGACCTGATTGATTTGTGTATTTGGGGAGTGAGCCAGTGGATGGATGATCTCTTGATCTGCCTCTAGTTTAGGGTAAACATAAATAACAATTTCTAAAAAAGTAAATGTATCCTAACAATATTTTACATTAGAGTGGGAAGTTTTGCCTATCATATTAAACTGTATGAGAAAGTCATATTTAATTTTTTTGGTAGGTTTTTTTATGGCATGATTGGAGTGACTAGTTCAGGGGTTGACATGGTTGGAGTGACTAGCTCGGGGCTCACTCAGCTGGTTCTCTTGCATAGAAGTTCTGTTCTGTGCATGCCATTGTGCAGCTTTCCAAGCAGAAGACACATCTTCAGCACGTTTTTGAGGTGTATGATATTGCTTCCCATTTGGGACAACATAGAGATGGTCAAGTGGGAACCTCCATAAGCAACTACCACCATGGCCATCTGTCCCCCTGCCCTGTGTCATAGTGTCTGCCCATCTGTCAATCAAATGACACCTTTCTAAGGATGTGCTCCCCATCACCAGGGACGTGGGTTGGTATCATGGAACACTTTCTAGGCTCATAGGAAGTCAGGCAGTGGAGAGCACTCTCTCTTTCCACTGACATAAAATGGAAAGGAGAAATATTTGTCGCCTTCTGCCCACCCCTCCCTGAATGTGCCTAAGATTTCCTCACTTTTAAAATAAACTACAATGAAGAAAAAATATAGTATTTCAAGTTAACAACAACTTAGTATGATATACTTACCGAGTTTCAGTAAGAATAACATTAGTCTTGCCCCTTTTATATTTTCATTATCACAGATTCCCAACACTGTGTTTGTTAATACGTTTAGTGTTAATATGCTTTTGGTAGCTATCAACTTGTACTAGATTCTGGAACTTGCAAATATGTGACCTGGAATATGGAGTAGGTTTTCTCTCATTGTACTGTTTGATGTGCTCTCAGCACAGGAGAACTTGCTGGATTTTTAACATTGCCCAGTTCAAAGGCACCCTCTTATGTGCTTCTTGATGAGGGCCTATGCTTCGTTTTCTGAGTATGATCGTGATGCCTGGTTTACATTCAGCCATAGGATGGAGGCTGGCCTTGTACCCACAGAGACTTCAGTGTGCTGTTCTACTCATCCATGGTTGGGCATTGTGAAAGTTTGCACTTTGTTTGCTCCTCCAAAGAACCGGTGCATCAAATTTGAAGTTGTCTCTTTTACAATGATTGAGTTGAGTATGAGCCAACAAAAGCAGAGATTGAATCATGCTGTGGGGACTGCTTCAGAGCAACCTCTGCCAGTTAGAATTTTCCCAATATGCTAATTCAGTAACTACTGAGTAATACTGACAGTGAAAAAGTGAGCTTCCCAAAAATGCGCTCATGGTACAGCAAACCCTGGATTCCTTTTCAGATCCTAAATGGCAGTTCTTGAGAACCAGACATAGAAATGGTGAACTGGTGTGTCAGGAAGATGGATACAGAGGTTGGTGGCAGCCTGTGCTTCTGGGTTCTGCTGGTGCTTAGAGGACCTGCTGCAGATATCCTTCCTCTGGGACTTCGTGTGTAGGACCTCGTGTGTGGGACCTCTCTTGGGTTTACATTTCTCTCACTTCTCTCCTCACTGAACCTGCTTGTGTACATGTGCAAGCACAGGATGCTTCTGTGTAGTCCACTTCCCATCACTCAAATGAACCTACTGGCTCAACCCAGAACCTGGAGTGCGAAGAAGGATCCATGTATGCTATTTGTTGTCACTTCTATTTGTTGTATTCATGCATATGAAATCCCATTGCCAGGATAGAGTTGTGGAGTGATTCAACCTTCTTAAATATGTGACAAAGTACTGTTTCATGATTTTGGGAGATGTAACATCTGGTTGAGGGTGATTTTCTTACCTCAAATTGTCTACCTTAAATTATATTACACATCTCTGTGGACCTCTGAATCCTTGTATGCTGTGTGAGATATTTGTGTATTTTTCCCCCCAGGTGATTTACTTTTGGAGTCCCCCTTTTCCTTCTCTTGTTGAGATACTGACACAATGTTATTTTCCTAGGGCTGGAGGTCCAGGAGCATCTCCTTAACTTCTCATAGGGGCTGCCCTGTGGCATCTGAGAGTGACCACATTTTTCGAAACTTGGAGCAGATTCAGTGGCTACCATTCCCACCCCCACCCATTCTTCATTAGCAACATAAATCACTAAGAGGCATGCTGTTAAAAAATGTTGCCAAGATTCTTCCTAAAAATTGTATATATTTGTGTGTATTTACTTGAGAGGGCGAGAGGGCTGGAGTAATAGAGGAAACATGAGAGAGTCTGAGAGAGAAAGAACAAAGTTTGCATCTACTGGTTTACACCCCAAATTCCTGCAAAGGCCTGGGAACTTGTGTGTGCTGAAAATGGAAGCCTGGGAATTAATTCAGATTTCCTATGTGGATGGCAGGGACCCAGTTACTTGAGCCATGACATACTGCCTCCCAGGGCATGTGTTGACAGAAAGACAGAATTGAGAGCACAGCCAGGACTTGAACTAGGGACTCTGGTATGGGATGCAGGGATCCCAAATAGCATCTTAACCCCTAGCCCAAATGCCTATGGTATGGATTCATGCTTTTTAAGCAAAAATTTCGTACAGTCAGTGTGTGCTTTTTGAAGCTCAACGATATGAAATTTGTGTCAGAAACTTGCTGGCACAACTGATGAAAGAGTTATACTAACTGTAGAATTGGAATCCTCTTGTTCTATGAATGAATGTTAGCAGGTTCCAGTGACTGGCTAAGAATAGTAGTGAGAAACAGCTTAGGATAAACTTACCAATGTGTGGTTTAGAATCGCAGGACTATGTTCATGTTCTTGGCATTACACGCAAGGTTGATGTTATTTTGCCTCACCATGTTTCACTTCGTCATCTATTGAAAGAATAACACACAATACAGAGGAATGTTTGAAGGTGAAATAAGATGTTTCATGCATAGTGTTAGTGCAGGACTTGCAAGATTTCATAGACTCTGGTTGAATTGTCATATTCCTGGGCAGTTGGTTAGCTCCAGTGTGAATTACTTCATTTAGGACTATAGCAGCAACTGAACAGTTATAGACAAGGAGGAGAGATTGGTCATGTGGCTGGAATAAAACTCATATATATGGGTTCAAATGCAGGTTTTTTATTGTAGATCAAATAGTTCGTTTTGATTTTCTTCCATGTGTCCTGTCCCTCTAACAGTTTGTCTTCTGCAAATGTGCTTTGCATTTTGCGAGTTGGTCACAGCCTGAGCTCCTATTAGATGTCATATCAATGCCCTTTTCCTTTGCAGATTCCTGTGCTTCTGAGTCTAAGTCAAGATCCTGAAGTCAGCTTGCCTACGCCACCGCTCATGTATGCCCTGGCCCTTGGTGCCTGCCTGGGAGGTGAGGGAGAGCTGACTGGAGCAAGCCAGTGTGTATGGACACTGTTACGGAGCTGGAAACAACAGTTAGTGTGTACCAAATCTAAAGCAGACTAAAGGGAGTACTGATGGAATGTACCTTTAGCTGTAGAGGGCATAGTTCCAGAGATATCTCTTCTCATAGGAATAAATGTTAGAGTTTTTTTTTAATGGGAAAATAGCATTTTAGAGATGTTAAAAAGTGAGACTGAACTCTGATGACCAAACACAAGGGCTTTGGATGTGGTTGTCCTGGAGGGATCATAAATAGAGCTCTTCTTACCTCTGGGGAGCCTCATCACCTCTGGGAATACAGGAGGATTGTGAAGAATCTGGCAGAAGCACACTGGTTACATTTGAGGCTTTTATCCTTAAAGCCCGGCATGCTTAGTAATCCAGCTTGCTTTCTCGTTTGATTGATCTCTGACTGTAAAATCAATAGCCTTCTGGTTAGTTTCTTTTTTTTTGTGAAGGAGGATTAATGTCACTCAATGAACTTTCTACAATTTATGGAGATAGCTAATTTATCTGATTTGGTGTCAGAAGCATCAGTTTCTTATCAAGTGGTTGAAATGTGAAGATGGCTTCTATCCAAACAACCAGCTCCCCAGCAAAAGCAGTCATTCCATTCATAGCTACGTTTGACATGAAGCCGAGGTAGCTGGGAAATCATCCCCTACGTGAGACTTTGTTCATTCAAACTTAATGAATATCTGTTGCAGTCTCATTGTCCTTGCTGTGAAGGTGTGAAGACTGTCACCCAAACTGAGGTTACAATACAAACAGGCAATCTTCACTGCCCAGGGAATACCAAGAGAGACTGGAAGGAAAAATCCATAGAAAAATCCTTCAAAAAAGGCAAAAGCTTGAGTAGGATTTCAGAGGGTAAAAGACACCTGTGTTAATTCTGATTCCCCCAAAGAAAGTGGGTTGTTTTGGAATTTCTTAAGAGGAGACATTCACATAGACTACTTATGGGCTAATAGCCTGTGTTAGGGTTAGTTACTTACTGGCTGAGCCATTTCTGAAAGTGGGAATGTAGATGTAGTGAATAAATTAGATTTTAAGTAGTGGGCCCTTTGTGCTCATTTGTTCTAGTGATGGCGAGGCTCTTGTTCCTGCAATGCAGATACTCGTGTTAATTCCAGCGTTAACTCTAATGACTCCATCAGGGACTCCTACAAATGCAGGAGTTATCCTACAGATAACAACATCCAGTAGCTCAGTGGACTTGGTGGCTTTCACAGTGTCATGCAGTCATTGCCACTATCCATCTCCAGGACTCGTCATCCACAACTGAAACTATAGCCATGAAGCAGTAACTCCCAAGCCTTCTACTGTCTGATATTTTGAAGAAGATATTAAGTAGCTGTTTTCATTCAGGTTTAGAAAAGGCATTTGATATACAAATTGTTGAGGGGGATTCCCTGGATGGTTTGAAACAAACAAACAAAAAAGTCACTGATCTAACACTAATACTTGTTGGTTGTTCTTTTTGTCAGAATAACTCAAATGAGTCTTAAGAAAAATCTACCTTAGCCTGAGTTTTTCATGAACAGAGGCAGAGGCAAGTTTACATGCTGAGGCTTTACACTGTATTACACTAGAGATGGTCCCCAAACTTAGGCTTGTTTGACTTCACATGTTTTGACTTTACCGTGTCTGAGAGTGACATTCCTTAGAAGGACCTCAGAGTTTGAAAGTTGACCTTTTCCTGGGTGAGACTATGTGGGATAACCTCTCCTGATTCTGGCTGGTGGTTGCAGTTGTAGTTTCCTGTTAGCCTCAAGATTATGGGGTAAACCACTGCGTTCCAATGTACGCTGTTGCTAAGATCGGATGTTTACCAAGCCAGGTGTACTCAATGCAGTTTTGGGATTTAGGGACAAGTGTACGAATTCATGCTCATAGTCAGTGACTGACACAGAGCTAGACAGGCCAAAGCCATTAGGAGTGGAGACTTGAGGGGTGATTTCTGGGAGAAGTGAGGGGCTAGTCTTGAAGTTCCCTGATTCTGAGAATAAATCTTGGGAGAGAATATTGTCCTGCTCCTTCCTTTGCATAGTGTCATGTGACAGAGATTCCCCGAGTTGCTTCTCTCTTGAGTGTGGGGACACTTCTGCATGGGTTTCTGGATGGCAGAAGATGCAGAGAGAGGTAACCGGTCCAAATGGTACCATGGAGCCATGCAGACTTGCTGCTGTGCTGACTGCTTGTTACACAGGAGGAACTTTCTTCCTGTTGCTGATACCATCTGATTTCCTTTCTTTACAATGCCAAATATCTTAATTAATAGAACAGAAATTATTCGAGACTTTCTCAAAGTGCAAAGCTTAGAAGAGTTCACTCCCACGGATGGTTTCTGAACCCAAACTTAGCATTCCTCTGAGGCAGGAAGTCCTCTGTTTCCAACACGTGTATGCAGGGTTAGAATTGGGGTTGGGAATGACCAGCACTTTCCCCGCTCTCTTCTCTTTTGTTTCCCTCTGTGTGCTCACTTTGGTAGCCAACCTGCTTTTTCTGATCTCATTTTGTTGAGCAATAAAAGATGAAGGAACTCTGTGAGTCTTTTGACATAGTTTTTACCTTCTGATTGAAAAGAATCTATTGATGCTGGTTCTCCTTCCTGTCTTCCTGCCGTAGATTTGGCCATGAAGCTATCTTGTGGGACAGAGGCAAGAAGATTGTGGAGACCTGCTTCTGACGTCATGAATATCAATAAGAGCTTGCTAGCCCTTGATCTCCACACTTCTTTTTCCATGAGAGTGGTTTATCTCCCTGTTTGTTTAAATGGAACTTAGGCTTTCTGTTGCACGTAACTGCATGCATCCTTAAAAGAAACAGGGCTCCATGAGATTCTGTAAGATAACTTTCTGCCTCTCAGGTTAGGAAGACTTCAGGAGGCCAAATGACTGCATGCAAAAGCATAATGGAGGAGGCAGAGGGAGGTCAGGTTACAAAGAGCATATGGGGGGGACTTTTGGGGAATAACAGTCCCTAAAATGTCATCCACATTACATGCAAAAGATACAGTGTGGAGTCACATGTGGGAAGTCTGGGTGATTGCCTACATGATACAAGTCAGCCTGTCTCTTGTTCCTCTTCTCGCCATATCTGTCTCTCCGAGGAGAGATCAGAGCCACTGGGTTCCTCATTTCCCCTCTTTTACTCACCCTGTCCTGAAGTGTCCTGCAGCCAGAATACTCAGCTGCCACAGCACCCTTAGATGGTTGAAAACTTTCCCATTATTTTTCCTGAATGCAGATGTACTGAGGAACAAAGTACCCCCTCCCTCTCTGTAACAGTATTTACACAGCTATGATTTTAATCTACTGTATATTTACAGGCTTAATTTGCCCCTAATCATAATATTTAGCAAATAAAGAGATCGAAAGATCACAAATTCATTGCAGAATAAACATGGGCTAAAAATGACAATCCTATCCCAAAGTGATCATTTCATCCCTACACCTGTGTGTGCATATGTATGTGTGTATGTGTGTTCTGTTAGCTACCACTTATCACAGGAAACATGTTTATTCGTCTTTTGAGACTAGGCATAATAGTTTCCTGTTGCACCTATTTTGTTACAAAAGACAGGATTTTGTGTGTTTCATTGCAGATCAGGAATTCACACCCACTAGAGGCATGGTGCCATACTTCTCACCCAGGCAGTGCTTGCCTGAAACATCATCATTGTGACTGGAAAAGGAGTATTTTTTCCAATAAGAAAAATAAGTGTTGCCTTTTAGTTTTAGAGCTCACATATGCTGCTGCCTGTGAATTTGGCTCATATGTTGAGTTCTGTCTAGTTCAAAAGTGGAGCTCACCTTATGAAATCCTGGAGCTGGGAATGAGGCTGGGCAGTACTCTTGGAGAACACTGGCTTCTCTGTAGGAAGATGCTTGTCAAACCATGGGAGGTGAACCATGGGGAGTGTACTTGGCATGGACATGCAGTCTCATTTAAAAGTTCTCCTGGCCCAGGACAGGAGCAGGCTGGAAAGTACGATAATGGAATGGACACATCTGAGGTATGGTGCTGAGAGGAGGCTGTGTAGGTCGGCACTGTTGTGGTTTGTTCTAGAGTTGGAACTCCTGGCTCAAGTTCAACACTTGCTGCTTTTCAGTCCTGGTCCTGCAATGTGCTACTCAGCCCTTCCACATCCTTCATTCGTCATGGAAATGCTGCTCTGTCGCCTGCTTGAGTTTGTATTGTCTGGTCCCATAAAAGTGGTCTTCTGCCTAGTATAGGTGCTCCAGAGTTTTGTCTTTAAAGTCACCAATCTGTGGAAGGAAAAGAGATTTTTTTTTCCTCGATGATTTATGGACAGATGTCAGAAACTGAGCTAAATGAATGTTGAGTCATGCACTCATCACAGGCCATGACCTCTGTGGTCCTGAGGGAAAGAAGCAGCTCAATGATCTAGCAAATTCTCTCCCTCTCTCTCTTTCTCCTTTTATTTCTTTTGAGTCACATCTAATGTTCTGATTGGCTTACTTCAACCTTAACCTTCACCTGGACCACGAAGACTGGCTTAGGTTCCTTCATGTATGATCTGCTTTCTTTCTGTTTTTCGTTTTCCATTGAAAGATATCTATCACCTGTTCTGACAATGACTTGCTTATTCTCCTTAGCATTTCCCTCGTCTATCCACAGACATGTCTGTAGATTAATCCAGTATTCACAAACAGTGGAGTTTAAGTTCTGATTGCTAGTGTGTGTGTGTGTGTGTTGCCTGATATTTGCAAAGCAGTCACCGTGGTAATGCCTATGAAGTCATCAGTTCAACACCTGTGAGATGATTTATATACTACAACACAAGGTAGAATAGAAACTACTATTAGAATAAACTAGGGCTTTATTCTGCTTCTTAAATTGTGATTTCAGGTAATGGGACACTGATTGGAGCTTCAGCAAATGTTGTTTGCGCAGGGATAGCAGAACAGCATGGATATGGATTCTCTTTCATGGAATTTTTCAGGTACTTTTAAAGCTCATTTTAAATTTCTATGTAGATATGTAAGTTCTAAGATTACTCAATTTAAAAAAACATCCCCACATTAGTGCATGCTGTTCAACATGAAGATATGCATTTCTTTTTTTTAGCAATTAGGCATAATTTGGTATGGATGCAGTTAGTTGGGGAACAAGCACATTGACGGTCTCTAACTAGGTGGAGGTCCATCACAGAGTCTGATTCAGATAATCTGGATGATTCAGGATGAGTGAAGGAGTCAGGAACTAGTGGTGAGCTTGACTGATAGTTCTCACTGCTGTCTTCTTGAAAATTCCGGTGTGGCCTTGTGCCTTGACTGTCCTTGACGATGATGCCTAAAGAGAGTCTGACATCACCCTACTGGGTTGCATGGCAGGAAAGCCCTACCAGCAAGGATATAGGGAAGCTCCAGACTGAGATAGGATGGCCATTCCGAGGGTAACTTGAAAGTAGATGCTCCGTGTGTGTCACCTCTCAGGAGGATGGCACAGACCTGAGGTCCAGGGTGGGAGTGGGTTTGGGGTGTGGGAGAATGCGTTCCTAGGGAACTGTGGTCTCTCTGGGGTTCTGATTGCCTGCATGCTTGTGTTTATGTGACATAATTGCACATTGTGAGCGGGTGAATAGGTAGCATGTAAATGGGTAGACCCTGAAAAAGATGATTGAAATGAATTGCATTTATTTGATGTTGAGCAAAATTTCTCTGGAAGTTCGTCAACTCGCAAAGTGGTTTCTACATGTTAGATAATATGTAGATTTTGGTAGATTCACTATATTTGTCACTTGTATAGTTCCTAGGAAGCTAGTAATGCTTGACAGTTTTGCTGACACATTAAATTGAATGACACTCCTAAGTGATTTGGATCTGGGAAGGAGACACACTGAGCTAGTGAGTGAAGTGACAGAGAACAATGAATGTTCCTCTCTCCACGGGATGCTGGGCATACTGCTGACCTTGCTGTCAGGGAAAAGACTTAAAACTTCATTTTAGACCAGCTTCTTCCTGCTCTCTCTGCTGAGAATGAAAGGGACTGAGAACAGCATTCTCTAATTGAAAACAGCTTTCATTACAGCAAATGTGACGGTGGCTTTAGCAGGATGGCCCCTGCTCACTGCGATCTTTTTGTCTTCACTTGGTAGCAGGAGGCCCCAGACCCAGCACACAGTCAAGAACGGAGTTCAGAGTTTAGAGTTCTAGCTGGGGCAGCATTAGGACACACGGACTTAAGGCCAGAAAACCAGTACTTCCAGCTTTGGGCTGAAGTCCTAATGTTTTTAGAACGTGGAGGACTGTCACTCAAATGATTCTCTTTGGCCAAGAATGTGACACTTTGGCTCCTCTGCTTCCAGAAAGTGTGAAAATCTTTTGGGCCATTTTGTGGCACTGGTTGATCTCAGAGTTAGGCAAGGGAGCCTGGCACATATGGGATTCCAGCACATGCAAGGGGGAGATTAGCCAATTGAGGCATTTCTCTGGGTCTTCTATATTTCTCTAAGTGTTTTTTTTTTTTTAATTCTGTGTTTTCTGTTAAGTTCATATTCCATTAGACTTAATTTTTGCATATGATATGAAGTTCAGATTTCAGATTCCTCCAGCACCATTTAGTGGGGAGGCAGTGCTTCCTCTGTTGAATCGTACCTGAATGTATGTTTTTGGATCTGTTACTGGGTTCTGTGTTTTGGTCTATTGTTTTATGTTGCTTTGGGTGTATCCTGATTTATTTATAATTGTTATTGGTTTAAATTGCTTGACCTCCTCACTATCACACTATCTTGAATATTATAGAAGTAGTAAAAACTCTGCATACTGCTTTAAAATTTGATTAGAAAATATTACAAACTGTGGACTAAGACTTTCAAATTACTCAGATAAAATTGTAAGTGCTGAGGTCCACGAATGTTAGGAAGCATGTTATCATTATTAAATTTTATCAACAGTAGTTTCAACCTGGTCATTTCTTATCTGTGAATTTAGTTTTGGTTTATCAGTTTGACATTTAATTGGAATTTTGTATTTCCAAAAATAAAATTTTAATTTATTTATTACTCTTAGTTTTTCAATTTTTATTTGTTTTAACTGTTATGTTTATGCTTATTGTTTTTCCTTCCTAATGTTTTGTACTATTATTACTGCTCTCATTTTTTTGTAAATTCCAAAATTCTATGAATTTGTATCTATGTACTAATTTTATTTTTCACAATGTTTAAGGATTTAATGTTCTCTTTGCTCATAGACTCAGATGTAATTCATGAAGTCTGATATGTAGTGTTTTAATTACCATTATCTTGAACTTTTGTGTTTTCAAGATTATTTTTGCCTTTTGATCAAGAGTTGGGTGCTTAATAATTTTCAATCTCTAGGTTAAAGAGTCCTTTCATGCCCTTTTATTATTTCTCTGTCTTGAAATGTAGAGTTACAGAAAGGACTTTGATTTCTCCAGTGTCCACAACAGCCAGGGCTGGGCCAGTGTTAAACTGGGAGCCAGGTGTTTCACCCAGATTCCTCTCCTTTTTACAGAGATCCAAGCATTTGGTCTACCCCCTGCTGCTTTTTCCAGGCTGTTGGCAGGGAGCTGAAACCTGAACCAGCACCCATGTGACATGCTGGGTTGCATATAGAGTCTTTTAACTCATCTTGGCTCCCATTTGTTTTTTTTTCTTTTTAATCTTTGCTGTGTAGTTTAGATCTCAAGATGACCTCTATCACCTGTATGAGAATACTGATGAAATTAAAATTTATTTTGGTGTCAAATATTTTGAAATCCTTGTAGTTTTTCCATACTATATATTTCCATGAAACTTCTGAAGATCCTTTTTGTAAACATTGATTATTTGTTGTACTTTTCCCTTCCTTCCTTACCCACTTGTTGATTGAATTATTTCAGATTAAAAAAAAATTATACAATGAGGCTGGTATGATAGCTCAACTGGTTAATCCTCCAACCTGCAAGTGCTGACATTGCATATGGGTGCTGGCTTGTGTCTCAGCTGCTCCACTTCTGATCCAGAAACTTGCTTGTTGCATGGAAAAGCAGTAGAGGGTGTCCGAAAGCCCTAGGACCCTGCACCTGCATGGTAGAACTGAAAGAAGCTCTGCTTCCTGTCTTTGGATTGTCTCAGCTCCAGCCATTGCAGCCATTGCAGCATTTGGGGAGTGAACCAATGGATGAAAGATATTTCTTTGTCTCTCCTTCTCTCTGCAAACCTTTCTAATAAGAAGAAATATATTTTTTAAAAATAATACATTATTTTCCACCATTGTTCAGCACTTGTGAGGTTTCTATTAAGTTCTCTGACTGTTACTACTTTTGCTGATGTGGCCCTAGTCTTTTGAAGGGTGAATTAATCTAAAAGTAAAGCACAAGAACAACCCGTTAGTTCCAGTATTTACTGAGGTTTTGCAGACATAGGAATGTGCTTCTACAGCCATATAGACAGAAACCTTTACTTCATAACTCATAAACCCTGGGTTGAAGCACACCATCTTTGAATTTCATAAAAATACTTTATTATTGGCCAATCTGTAGTAGTTTTTGGAACATCTGGTGGTAATTTAACTCTTTGCCTAAATTATTGGATGGTTTTTTCCATGGGGAGTTTAAAAATGTATCCCTGAAATAGAATCATTTTATTAATAGAGCCCAGGTATCCCATGGGTTCGTTTAATGCCTTGTTGTAGTCTTTAGGATTTCAGATTTGCGCATTTGTTGTGTTTCCTTGTTTCACGGAGAGTTTTGTTTCGGGTCTAGTGGGTTTGTTTTTATTAAATTTTTATTAATATAAAGAGAACAGATTTTATTTACTTCATTGGTACACCCTCACTCCTCTGCTCACTCCTCCAAACCCTCTCTTTCCCTTCCCTTCATTGTTTTTGCAAATACAGAATTTTAGTCTGCTCTATAATCACTAGTTTTATTACCACTAACACTAACATTCAAGAAGTAAAAAGTAGGAAGACCCCAGCTCCACAGTAGTACCAATACCTACTACAAATAACAAATGTGTCACAAAATGCTTTATTTCTAAGTTTTTTTTGTATTTTATATTAACCATATTAACATATATCAGAGAAAATAAGATATTTGTCGTTTTAGGAAAAATATGTCTCTAAGCTTAATGGTTTCCAGTTGAGACCATTTTGTTGCAAAAGATGGGGTTTCATTCATTTTCATGGCTTGAGTAGTAAGTATTCCATAATGTATATGTATGCTGCATTTTCTTGTTTAAAAATAAAAAGGTTTATATTTGTATTTGAAAGGCAGATTTCCAAGGAGAGAATAATCACAGTGTCTGGAGCTGTTCTGGTCCAAAGTCAGAAGCCTGAGCTTTTTCTGGGTCTCTCACCTGGATGCAGAGGTCCAAACCTGGGCCATCCTCCATCGAGTTCCCAGGCACACTGGCAGGGAGATGGACTAGATGTGGAGCAGCTGGGACTCAGACAATCACCCATATGGGACACTGGCATGGCAGGCAGAAGCTTAACTCATACACTTTTCTTTATCTAGTTATCTAGTTGGTGAACATCTGGGTTGATTCCATGTATTAGCTATTGTGAATTGAGCTCCAACAAACATGGAGTACTGAGAACTCTTTTCATATGATGCATGATTCATTTCATTTGGATACATTTTCTGGAGTAGAATGTTTGGTTCATATAGTATATCAATTCTTCGATATTGAGAATCTCCATACTGTCTTCCGTAATGGTTTTATTAGTTTACATTCTACCAACAATGTATCAAGGTATCCTCTACTCCACATCCTCACCGGTATTCAATGTTTTTAGTTTTTTGATGATTACCATTCTAACAAGGATGAGGTGAAACCTCATTGTAGATTTTATTTATATTTCTCTGATTGCTAATGATTGAGGGCATTTTTCGTATGCCTGTTGAGCATCTGAATTTTATCTCTTGAAAACTTCCTGTTCACACCCTTGGCCTAATTTTTAACTGTACTATTTTTGTGATTGTTTAGTTTCTTGA